ACCAAATTTGGAAACAAAATGAAAGGAAATTTTTCAACATATTGGATTTTTTTTTTTGCTAATTGCTCATTGAAAAGATTCAGTTGACAAAGCAGCAAGGTAAGTTATTGAAAAGTTAGCAAACCTGTGATTCGCTGAACTCAACTTCTGGACGAGACAGGAGTCCGGAAATATCATGTTCCATGTACTCGAACACAAGATACATGCTACAAGACAATCTGGAGGTAATGAGACCCTCTAATTTAATGATATTGGGATGGTCAAGCCTGCGGAGAATCATAATTTCTCGTGCCATAAATCTAACACTTTCTGGCTCGAAGTTATCAAATCGCACCTTCTTCAGGGCAACTGTCCTTCCACTTTCTAAATCACGTGCTCTGAATACACTGCTGTATGTACCCTGACCAATCTGTTATAGCAGTGAAATGTCACAGGAAAAACCTTCATCAGCTAGAAAACCTAACGTTGCATAACGATATTATAAATTGTTAAAAAGTTTACCAAGTAGGAAGAAGCATATTGACACTAGTCATTTGATGAGCAGCAAATAAAAACGCAATTTAGTTTTCTCCAAGAGTTTTAAAGTTCTTCCATCATTTAAAATTTCTTTAGGTAAATAACATTTATAGTAAGTCTCACATTTCAGCACAGGCCTCCTCCTCTTGATTCCAAAACGTCACCAAATATGTATCACCGTATCAGTAAAATCTTTCTCAATTTTTTTAGAATTGGCAAAATTCACTTATCAGCTCTATGGAACAGTGATCCAAGTTAAATATATGCAGGTAAAGGATGCTGTGGTCAAAAGTTAGCAGAACTAGATAGAAGGTATATAACTTTAAACAGAAGAACCATCAATGCAACAGTGTTCATGGATTTTTTTAAGAGAACGAACGACTTAAGAGACCTAGTTGCCTGTTGTGGGAACTTGTATGATTATATTAAAATAAGCCGAACGTCGCTGTAATCCAAACATTCCTCTAGCTCAAGTGATTTGCAAGGGAAAGAAGCATGTTAACAACTCAGCCTTCATAATTTTCTGGCTTCAAATTGAATTGAAAGAACCATTAAAAAGGCTAGCAGTAAACACTACTACCTCCCAATTCCTTTTCCATTTTGAGATAATGCTTTCAACTAACAAGCAAAAGGACCCCAATGAAGTATAGAACTTTCATTTGTTCTTACTAATTCTAGTTTTCGCTGCCCCATAGAGCCCTATTCTCAGAAACAAGAAAAGAGAAGATAGAAGATGCATTGAGTAGTAACAATGGAGATAGATGTAATTCAATAAATTAACTAAAATCACTAGGAATATATAGATTAAACAGAGTTTCTATTAATTTATTTTTCATGAAAACTACTCACTTCCTAATCTAATATTGCCAAAAAAGGAAACTAACATGTGATATTCTCAGAATTACACAGTAGAAGCTATACGTTACCTGATATATCACAATCAAATGACAAAATACTAATCAGACATCCCTAAAGCCACAGTAATATCACGACAAAATTGAGTAAAGACAACAGGAGTAATTAATAAGGACAAATTTCAGTAGTAAAAAACAAACCTTTTCCAATTTCTCAAAAGACTCAGCTCTGAGAGGAACCCATCCTTGAATAGCTTCCCCTGCAACAGCACTGAGCCAAGCAGGCCAACCAGCAGCCACTTGCTCTCCTTCCACATATTTCTGCAAATTCCCAAGCCTAAAGCTCACTGACTCACTCCCACAACCATTTGAACTCGCCCTACCTGACTCACCCAACTCGCTACCTCCACTCAGTCCTGAGTCAGCCCTCTTCTTCACCTTCTTCAAATCAAAATCCAGTCCAAAAGCACCGCTCCCGACCCGGTCACGACCCGAACCGACATCTTCACTGTCTCTGAGAACCCCTGAATGATCAAATGCAGGTGTTACCGACACTGTTTGCTTGGACGCCACACAACCCATGGTGGACACGTGTCAGTTGCACAGCAACACCATGAGAGCAGCTTTCACTGCAAACCAAGACCAACCCAGATGAAATTATGCTAAATCTTGACGGGGGTCAAGTTTAGTTCTGAGGTAGTAATACAAATTCTGAATTATATTTATATGATCAAGAAAAAGAAACTCTCTGTTCAAAGTCACTTCCTTTTCTCTCTAACTTTTATTTCTGCGGCAATTGCGGAAGGTGAACAAGAGGGGAAAATGAGGTTTTTAATGGGGTTAGCAGTCACAGCAGCAAGCAGCAACGGAATGAAGCGTAATCAACGGGGAGAAAAGGAAATTGGTGGCCTTTTACACTGACGTCCTGCTGCGTTAAGTTGTTTTTATTTCCCTTTTTAATGGGAAAAGAATTGATGACAAAAAAATTAAAAAAAGAATGGGCAGTCTTTGAGAGCAACAAGTCTTTATTGACTTTTATGAGAAATTTAAAATTCTCTAGTCTTGTTTGTTCTTGTATTAGGATATTTCTTTAAAATAGTTTAATTGATGTTTTCCTAGCGAAAAGTTTGAATCCCATATGAAGTGTTTTTATTTTTGGATATACTATATGGTATAGTATGTGGTATTTGAAGATTTGCAGTGTAGACACTGACAAAAAAATAAGGCTGACAATCTCCAAAAAGAACAGGTCCTAAAGGGTGTGAGTTGCCAATAATGTAACGCGTGGAATATACTCTCTGTATAGGATTTTGGAAGGAACTTAGGAACATGTTGGTTTGAGTTGGTGTTGATTAATTACACTATGTTTATAAAGTATGGTTTGGTTCAAGTTTTGTGTAACAGTTGGGGTCTTAATGGATGGGCTGGCAGAGGGCCCCACTTTCGCTTTATAAAATTTGAAGATTATAAATTCTAACCTTATCACCAAATTTATAACTCGTTTTAATTATTAATTGAGAAATAAAAAGTGTAAAATCTAGGTAAAAATTATTTAATTACTCTTAAGACATTATTAATATTGTAGCTTCGCCCCTTTCTCTATGGCGTTGGGAGGAGAGCTATAGAAAGGACAAAGATAAAGTAAGAGAAGTAAGAGGCAAAGGGTGAATAAAGAATGAAAAAGAAAAGGGAAAGTGAATAGAATGATGTAAAGAGGGGGAACAATGAGAGTGGATTTTTCTTTTTAATGCTACTAGCTAGGGCTGTTCATTCGGGTTACCCGAATATCCGAAATTCGAATTCATTCATTTAATTTTGGATTTTGGATTAGATCGGATTAGATCGGATTTTAGATTGTATTTATTAAAATTTCAAATTTCGGATCAGATTCGGATTAGTATATTTTAATCCGATCCGATCCGAAGTGCGAAATTATTAGGGTATATATAAATACTACACTTTAATTTCGGATAGTCAGTACTTCTTTTACATTTTTCTCCAAGCTATTACCTTTACAATTGCTGGATTTAGCTATATTGGCATCATAGTACACTCATTATTGCATAAACATGATTTTTTCTTAATGTATTGCCTCTTTTACAAAGAAAATATACATAGTTTGCTACTTTGAGGCATAATTATACGATCCAAAATCCAATCCGATCCAAACTTAAAATCCGATCCAATCCGATATAATCCAGATCGGATTCGGATTGCATTTTTTAGAATCCGAAATCCGAATCTGAAATGTGCTAAATCCGATCCGCTCCGATCCATGCACAACCTTAGTACTAGCTGTTTCAGTGTTTTTTTTGTTCACTTTCTCCACTAACATTTTATTCTTTCCTTTTTCCATTACATTTCTAAACCCCATTATTTTCTGATCTATTTCAGCTACTCTCATTTTTTGGAGAATGACTAGTGAATAAGGGGAAGGCAAAAAGAAAAATGAAAGAAGCGGTAAAGGGTTTTGGGAGATGTGATTTATATATTAAAAATATGATGGATATAATAGAGTTGTAATTAGATGATAACTCAGATTGAAAAAAAATCAGCTGATTTAGATAAGATTGGTTTCGATTTTATAGTTTTTTTTTTCGTGGAAGAAAAAATATCAATTTTTCTAATAAACAGAAAAGACATAAACAATATCTCGACCCAAGTTTTTCTAGCATGCTCGAGCCGAATTTCATGGCTGGATTATGATGTCAAATCATTTCGAGTTGCCTTTTCAAATATGATGATTACCGTCCATGTGAAAAAAATATACAGTGGATTGCCATTAGCTTCCTTTAGAAATTCCCAAGAGATCGTTTGGTACAATGGATTAAAAAAAAAATCTGGGATAAAAAATTAGTATTGTCTTATTTCTTATTTGGAAACTAATTTTGGAATAGTTATATCATGATTAAAAATAAAATTGAGATAACTTATACGTGCCAGAAAATGAAATAGTAATATTAAGATAAAGCAGTAAAACTGACAATCTCAAAGTTAATACAACATACCAAATACTCCGGTCAATAAGAAATAACTAGGACAATTAATCCCATTATAATTAGTCTTCAAAACAAACGACCTCTAAAAGTCGTGGTGGAATGAATAAGATCCCTTCATCGTTCATCAAAGACTTCGGGCTTGACCTCTCAAAGTAATAAAGAAAAAAAAATATTTCGCCTTTAATGTTACGACACGAATCCGAAAATAGTTTTAAAAAAGCGTCTTTAGAAAATAGTTTTAAAACGAGTACCGGGTGAAAAAGAAATAGTTTTAAAATGAGTAATAGTTTTAAAACGAGTACTAGGTGAAAAAGAAAAAAGCGTCTTTAGAAAATAGTAGAGCCCGTTTGGCAATTAAAATTTTGTCATTTTTTTCGAAATCATTATTTGGCCATAGAATTTTCAATTTTCACTTGAAAATGAATTTTGGAATATTTCAAAATTTTGAAAATCTCCGAAAAGCTATTTTTCAAAATTTCACTCAAATCACTCAAAAAAATTCAAAAAAAACCAAAATTATATTCATGTCCAAACACAACTCTAATTTTCAAATATCATTTTCGCTTAGAACTTTTTTTTTTTGTTTTTTTTTCGAGATTTTACAATTCTTATATCCAAACGCCCTTACACTACACTTGTTTTATTAATGTGAACTTAATTATCTATTGATGACCATGATCCAAAAGTGAACATTGACTTCCAAATCTCATGCTGCTCTGTCACATGCAGAAAATTTTTCGTCAGAAAAGTATTTTGTGTCTAATAAAATTATTCAGAGTCTTTCCATATGTACTTTTCTTAATCATATACTTAGCTTTCCACATGTCCTTGCACATCATTAGGGAAAATAATTAATGACCCCAAGAAAATTACGTACTTATAAAACTCTAATCTAATCTCGATATAGAGTATATATGTAATAGTAACTCTAATGACCCAAATAAGGTTACTTTAAGAAAAGCAGATTCTGAGATTATGAAGAAAGTAATGAGTTGTAGTTCACGTTTGGGACCATTTTAATGTAGGATAAGTGATATCTACCAACTTTCTCTTATTTGGCACTAAAATTGAATAAGCCATTTCAAGGAAAAGTTAAAACGCAGAAAACAAATCCATTCACTCAAAGTGGTGGGGGAAACATTGTTATTATTGTGTATTTGTAAAATAATTCTAGAGAATATAAAATAACGTAGAAACCAAATTCTAGTGCCATGACACATTTTATATTTGTATTATTTTCTTGGAAACCAAACCATAGTCGGGTTTATTGTTGAATATTTGAAGATAATGTCATGACACATCTCATATTTTGTATTATTTTCTTGGGAAATGCTTCATATAGTTGTATCTTACTAGGATTAAAGAAATATTTTGAGCATACATTATATGTTTTGTTCTACGAAGATTTTACCGGAAAAAACCCAAAAAAATCCGAATAACCCGAAAACCCGAGAAAAACCGAGATCGAAAACCCCGAATTTTATTGGTTTGGTTTAATGTTTAGATTTAATAACCCGACACAATTGGTTTGGTAATTATAAAATCCGAACCAACCCGACCTATGTACACCCATACCTAGTACCCAAAGTTGTGGATTAGTTCCTCCCAAGATAGAACGAATTACACACTGGTGTAACGGTACTTCAAACCCCAGTATTTCAGCGAACACAAAGATCAGTAGCAAATCACACTTACTGTTGTTTTCTTAGTAGTTAAAACAATGCAGAAGAAAGAAAAGGAAGTCAGAAATTCGTATGGAAAATCTGAGAGAATAGACAACTTATTTATAGACCCAACCTGCTGAGTTTAAACGAAGAGAGGTCAATTATGTAAAACAACCATAACGTAAATGGACATTTACGCAAATTAAAACGGGCAGAGGAAACGTTTTCCGTTACAAAAAACGGACGGGCAGAGTCAGTGAAACAGATAATTTGGATTATTAATCTTCCGTTACAAACACGGATATTTAATAATATTACGTTAATATTTAGTCCAAAAAATTAATTAATCGATCATTTATCCAAATCCGAAGCAGAGCGACGATGACAGCGCGAGGCTTGCCTTCTTCTTAACTCTTTAAGAGCTAAAAGAAGAGCAATTATATATATATCCATCAAAAACCTTTTCATCTTCTAATATGAGACAATGTCCCATTGTCTATGAGAAAAATTTAAATTTTTATTTTTCCACCATTTCCCATTCACCCTCTTTTAAACTTATTTTAGCTTTAAAACCCAACAAACATTACTATGTATAATTGACATTTTGGATCCAATTTCTAAGGATGAAATAGGGAAGTAGATGGTATCCTGTATATAATCCCTCCACTTCGGGGAAAAACCAGAACTCCTAACCGAAATTCAAAGAATAAAATGCAAAAATAATATACTTTAGAAATTTTTCCGTACGACCCAAAAGGTTATCACTTGTTTTAAAATGAAACCTTCATGTTCTGAGGCCTTGAAAACCTTATTTAGAGTCACCTCGAGTTGCATGCGCAGTCCGGGCGTGTAACCGGAAAGCTTAAATATGATAATCTGCAAAAAACGATAAATTTTGATTATAGAATGAGCTAATTTGACTTCGGTCAACGTTTTAGATAAACGGATCCGGACCCGTGATTTGACGGTCCCGGAGGGTCCGTAGGAAAATAAGGGACTTGGGCGTATGCCCGGAATCGAATTCCGAGGTCCCGAGCCGGAGAAATGAATTTTCAGAGAAAATTATTTTCTGAAATTGTTTAAAGAATTTTGAAACGAAATTTGATTAGAACATGATGGTATCGGGCCCGTATTTTAGTTCCGGCTCCCGGTACAGGTCTTATATATGATTTAAGTCATTTCTGTAAAGTTTGGTTGAAAACGGACGTCATTTGACGTGATCCGGATCTAAATTGCTGAATTTGATAATTGATGAAGTTTGGAAAAAAGCTCTTGATTTTGAGGTTTGATTCATTGTTATTGAGGTTATTTTGGCGATTTGATCGCACGGATGAGTTCGTATGATGTTGTTGAGTTAGTATATGTGTTCGGTTGGGAGCCCCGCGAGCTTTGGTGTGTTTCAGGAAGTTTTGAACTTAGGAAAAAAAAGTTGCAGGTCTCTGAAGCCAGATCACGCGGTTCGCGGTGGAAACTTCGCGGCCGCGGTGGGGATTCCGTGACCGCGGTGGGATTTGTGCGGTCCA